CCTGAACCCTTTGAGTTTTACCCATTTAAATTTTTTTTTTTTTTTTTTTTTTAGTGTCAGAGGATACATCCACCACAAGAGAGTAAGAGAGAGAGAAGGCGCCCTGCAATGGCCGGTCGTGCCAGGCCTTTTCTCCATTTCATCAAGATGCTGGACACACATGTGTGCACCTAGTGTGAAGCTCATGGGTCAGGGTTTGAACCCTAGTGGATCATACAGATCCATTGTCCTCTGTGAAGCACAAAACCACCGTGCTACAGGGTCAGCCCTGAACTTATTCTCTATACTAAACCCAAGATGATGTTTCCCCAGTTCCAAATCAATGATGCTCCCAAACTTGCTGAGTCCTCCAGCCTCAAGGGAAAGCCTAGCACTTGGTGGAACGTGCACCTCTTCTCCACTCACAGCCTGTCTGTCTCTTCATCTACTCGGTTCCCTCCATGCATTCCTCTGTGCCTCCCGCCCCATTCAACACAGGTGCAGATGGCACACACACGCGCACACGCACACACACATGGCACCCTCTGGCCATGTTCTGCACCCACTCAGACGTCCCCTCTGCCTGGAACACCATCCTATTCATGCCCATTCCTCACATGGCTCTGCCTGGCCTTCGGCAGGTAGGCCCCCCCACCCCCCACCCCCCTCAGTGTGACCTGTTCACGTGTGCTGGGAGCAATCTCTGCGAGCAATCTCTGCACCCTGCTATGAACATATGCAGGGGTCTTCAAAAAAATTTATGAAATGACATAATTAAAGTAGGAGCTTACTTTGGTACAAAAAAACTTGAAATCTATGTATAAGATTTTCATAATATGCCTTTCCATGAACTTTTTGAAGACCCCTTGGGCTTGTGTTCTCTCTATTTGTCTGGCTTCTGGATTCCCTCCTCTGTGCAGTAGCTCCCCCAGGCAGGGTCCGCGTCTCCCTGGCCCACGGCAGGGGCAGGCATCCCACAAATGTGTTAAAGGAAGAAAGAGCGCTGAGGTCCAGGCTGACGCGTCCGGGTGGATTTGGCCTTTGTGTTCGTATAAGACTTCTTGGAGAGAAGAAACAAACCACACTGAAAACAAGCCAGGGAACCCTTTTGCTAACTTGCCTTCATTACCTCAATTGCTTTTCCCAAACACCTTTCCCTCCCGTCTCCTACCTAGACCCAATAGAAGTCTGTGGAAATTCCTGTGCCTGAGCAATGTCCTCTGAGATGGGAAACCCTATCAGTCAGGACTTGAGACAGAGCATCTGCAGTGGGGAGGGATCACGACACACTAATGACCCTCGTGTGTGGAGTGAGGATTATCTCCCCTTAGTGGAAACTAAACTTCAGAGAGCTCAGTGACTTTCCCAGGGTCCCTTGACTTCTGTCTCCAAATGCATATTTCTTTCCACTACCTGGAGCTGCCTCTTGGGATAACTCGCGCATCCTCAGAGAACGCAGAGAGGAGAGAGAGCAAGGCCGCAGGGGCTGTCACCACTGGGCTCTGGTGCAGGACGGAGCCACAGATGTGTGCGGACTTCCCTGGGCAGGCCATTGTGCCCTGAAGAAGCCTGCGAGATGAGGAGCTCCTGTCCAGACAGGAACAAGGCCCTCTTAGGGAGGGCCAGAGTGACAGCTAGCCCATCTGCCTGGGGACACAGCCCACACAGAGGAAGCCTGCACTCCTCATCCAGCCACGCCTCCATGCCACATCAGGGGCCTTTATTGCTCTATCTCATTAGAGAGCTGTGGAAGCCTAAAGAGACTAATTACCAGGACAGTTAGGGTCCCAGGGAACTGTGATGAGTGTCAATTATCCAGCGGAAACATCTGGCAGGAATGAAAGCCTCAAATAAGATGCAGTTTATTCGTAGCCAAGTGACTCACTTGAAAACCTCCCCCTTCCTGCCATCTCCCCCTACCCCCATTGCCCTCTCCCCACCATCACTTCCCTTCCAAATGCAACTTAGAGAGAGGGAGAGAGAGTTTGCTGTAAGCACAGGGCAGCATGCAAGGCCAGGGTCTAAGATCATGGCAGTCGAGCACCATGGACAAGGACAGAGACAGGCCTGGAGCAGAGGAGCTCAGAGACGCAGCTACTCAGGGCATGGACAGGTGTTCATTAGTGCCACCAGCAAGAGGCGTTAGGCTTCTGCAAGTGGAAGGCACCCAGGCAGTATGGGATGTCCTTGGGCGTGGGGTTAATCTAAGCTGACAAAGACAAGGCTCAAGGTCAGAGGAGAGCCCCCCTCACTGCTTTTGCTGCTCCATGGGGTGGGGTTAGCTTAGGAAAGAAAGCACCCTGGAGGAAGGTGAAGAGTTTATAAGCCCCTCCCCGCCAAGGCAGCTGCTGCCTGAAGAACAAATATACCAACCTTTCCAAGGGGTCAGGGCTGTAGTTTTCACTTCTAAAAGAGATTAAAAACAAGCCACTGTTAGGGTAGACAGAGTTGGAGGTCATCGACCCTCAGGTGCTTTTAGGGGAGAGCCTGAGCTCCGGCCCAGGAGCGAACCCAGGCCTCTTGCATGCCCTCTTGCAGTCCTGCCCCCAGCCTAGCCCTCAGACCTGACGTGCTCTGGGCAGCCCGTGCCACAAGAGGCAAGCTGGGGCTGGAGAGGATGGGACGGACGGTCAGACTGAACTACAGAATGAGCAGAGCCCAGACAGACACACGATCTAAGCAGGAAATTCAGCTGCAGCTGGAGGCCTGCAGTGCCAGGCCAAAGCTTCCTTTCTTTGGTCGCCAGAATATCCCCGATCTAGTTGAAGTCTGTAGGCCTGAAACATGAAGTGGGCATGGAGACGGATTTATACTAGAGCAGTGTGAAGGTAGCCACAAGCTCCGTGTGGGACGGGAAGTCTGGTTTTGAGCTGTGCCTTAGAGATCCATTGAGGAGTCAGTGGACACGTGCCTGAGGGGCCCGGGCAGGTCTGTGGCATGTGGCTTCTCGTGTAGAAGCAGACAATGCCATCTCTCTGGGGTGAGCCGAGGCTCTGAGACCCACCCCTGTGCTGCTGCGACTGCACTTTGTGGGGACCTCCTTGGGCAAAGCCTGGGATGCCAGCTCCCCTCTGCTGACCAGCCCGCGAAAGATGCCCACTTCATTAGCGGCGAGCTCTCAGAACACACCGTGCCACCACCCCAGGTCATCTGGTGATGGTGGATGTCTCATCTAGCCTGAATTTGTGATGATCACTAATCTTTTACTTCACTCTTCAGCTAGGGCCCTCTGGTGGTTTGCCCAGGATAGAGAGAGGATAAAAAATAGCACTGAAGCTTTCTATATCAAAGAGACACTTTGAGAGTTAAAGTTTTCTGTGCAAAGGTCCTCACATGCAGAAAGAAAATCTAGATCTAGAAAGAACTCATCCTCAGGGCCAGCAGATGGCATAGTGGTTATGTCGCTGGACTCCTACATGGCAGACTGTGGTTCAAGTCTCGGAACGAATGGCCTGAAATTCATGCTGTGCACGGGTATGTGCATGTGTGCCCAAGATCTTGGGAGGAGCATAGAGAAGGGACTGCTGTGTGGTCATCCCCCAAAGGGGGTGGGATGATTTCTCACTTTCCTTCTTACTGTCTCTGTCTCTTTCTCTCTCGCCGGTGAGCACACATGCCCTAAGGCAAAAACATACAATCAAAAAAAAAAAAAAAAAAAAGAAAAAGGAACTCATCCTTAGCTTCACAAAAATATTTGTTTAAAATCATACAAATGCATCGCTATACATTCGAGCTCTCAATCTATTCTTTAAAGGCAGCCTGCACTTGACATTACTCTTGATTTAGGTGGACATTAGCAACCCTGAGAAGCCACCTCAAAGGTATAAAAGTGTAAGGGATGACCTATGATCGAATGTTGTGTGACTGTAAAGCCAGCATGGTAGAGAAGAGCCAGGAGGGAGGGCACCATGTGGTCTGTGCATTGAGCAAGGACAGTCCCTCAGAGTGCTCGCTGGGCCCAGGGACCAGCCTGAAAGCCCAGGAGGGGCTATTTCCAGGAATTACCTCATTCGGGTACCACTGATTTATAAGTCTGTCTGTGCCAACAAAAGAGTAATTGGAGGAGGAAGGACAGTGTAGGGAGAGACGCAGAGGGGCAAAGCAGTCACCAACTTTACCCACAACCACAAGCAGAGCCAGTGTAGAGAAGGGTTGCAAGAGGGCCATCCTCAGAAGTTCTGGGTCAGACTGTGCTGGAGGGAAGACCCAGGGAAGGGCTCCACTGTGTGGTTGAGAATATCAGAAAGAAGAGCGAGTGGAAGTCACAAATTCTTGCCCTAGACACCAGAAGACATTTTCTATAAAGCAAAGATCTGCAAACAACTTCAGCTTAATTGTTCCCATCCAGTGTGTTAGTTTCCCTTCTGCATCTTCAGCCCTTGAAGGGCGAACTCTTTTTACAGCTCACACAGGTAAAGCCCAATCTGACTCTCGTCGACCTAACTCAGAGCTCACCCTGTATTCTTTCCAGCCAGCAGTGTTCTAACTTTCAGTGAACCAGAGTGTCCGTCTGTCCCAGCACAGGGAGGGGAAGCAGCCCAGGTCTTTCTTCTTCTAACCTATCACTCTGCACTCCAGCCCACCTCCTTCACTTTGGTACCAAATGCAGGTGCAGACACGCCGACACTGTCCTCAGTATCATGCTTGGCGTGCTCCTGCCCAGCCTGCCTGATCCGGATTCCAGCGCCACCAGCCAGCACCATGATACCATGAGCTCACGTGTTGGCCATCAAGAAAATGAACCATCCTAAAAACCTAAGCATGTACTTTATGCCCAAGACCTTGACTGAAAATTAATTTCTATTTTTGTTAATAATGTATATGCCAGGCAGACTGGGGGAAAAAAAATTCAAATGAGAGAAAAAAGAAGAAAGAAACCAAGAGAGAAGGGCAAGGAAAAAAGGAAAAAGAAAGAAAAAGCATAAAGAAGCCTTCCCTAGTGCCCAGGTCTATGTCTGTACAAGCTACAGTGATGCTTTTCCAGCAAAGCCTATACTCATAGTTGAACCCAAGTCCCCTGGTAAGCACGGGAAACTGTCAGGTTCTGGAGGGCAGAGGAGGGCTGGTTTATAAGGATGGATATACAAACCTTCCAGAAAGAGGGTGGGAGACTTTATTTATCTTGCACATACATACCATAGAAATACTTCTTGCCGGATGGCTTGGCCTAATTAACTATGTTTAATTCTCTGCAGGGAAGAACCGATTGTCTTTTCTGTGACGATTGTTTCATCTGATACACAGAGTTGACTTTTGTCTCCCATTTCTTAATAAATTGGTTTGATGGTTACTGTGAGGTTCACAGGCATTACTCAGCCAGCCTTCCCCAGCCCACCGATACCATCGAATCTCACTTAAAGCCTAAGAGATAAAAGATGAAAGGCCGGTGGCTGGGAAATGAACAGCCATGGAGCCGCTGAGCTCACAGTATGTGCCCGGCACACTTGCCCATGCGGAAGTTCGGTGAGAGATGGTGGCACAGCCCTGAGTCCTTATTTATCACTGCGGGAGTCCTGCATCACCAAATATTAATACGAGCGGGTGACATGCAATCTGTTGTGTTTGCAAAAGGGAAGCAGAGAAATACTTCAAGGGTAGCAGAAAATGCTGAGGAGGAACAAAATTCTCTTATCAAAATCCTTCTAGTCCATTCAGATATTGGGTAGCAAAATAGCTTTGAACTTCTCTGAAAGCCAAGCGTTCCCTGTCAGTGGAAAATCCATGCATTCGTATAAATCTTTCTTGGTATTGCTGAGATAAGATGCACAGAGCTTGGGGTGTTCCCTGAGAAAATAGCTAGCTCTTTATTTTATTGGAGACTATCAAAGGAGGGGGCTCGGGAGCACAGACGAATGAGATAAATGTAGCCAGGTACAAGGTCTGCTTTCTCTAAACTGTCCTAGCTGTGCAAGAGTCCAGCATGCCCACCAAAGGCCACACTAGTCCCACTGTTGCAGTGCTGCAGGTGTCCACAGCCTATCCCCTTGGCCCTGAGCCATTCGCCTACAGCCAACAAGAAGGCTGCTTGGATAAGAGGTTGGGCATGTCCAGAGAATCAGAGTAGAAAAGGTGGCAATGATCCTGTCTCCCAAATTGATCGGTTTGTCAAAGCGGGAAGTGCAGCTTTCACTCCAGCCTTGTCTCAGGGAGCAGAGCTGGGTGATAAAGTCTCCTCCTAGCCCCACTCTTGGCAGAGAGGTCAAATGACTTGTTTGTTCTGTTTCCTGGTGGTGGTGGTTATTGACTTTGGAGGCAATGATGCTCCTTCTATCAGCTGAGTGCAACTTCAGTTAATACTAGCTGGTTAGAAACCACTATCTGAGTTTTAAAGGCTAATATTTCCTCCAAAGATGAAGATCTAAGTGGTCAGATTTAGCTTAGTAACTTCTGAGAGCACACCCGTAGCCTCATCCGTCTCAGCTCCTGTCTCTCTTCCCACTTGCCAGTTGTGTTTGCTGCTTTGCTAATGCTGTCTACATTAGCTCTGCTGATCGGCCTTGCATGGGCCTTAATAAACATAAGCTGCATCACAAGTGGAGCCTGAATACTGCCCCCAACCACATTTGCCATCTCTGTCCTCTCCTTTCATTCCCCCCCCCCCCCCCCCCCCCCGCTGGTTCACCACCCTGGTATTATGCATCACTAAGGTGAGTAATGCAGCCCTGGCTCTTTTCATGATAAAAGCATTTTTCCGCCTCTGTCAAACAGCTTCCCATATAATTCATTTCCTCTATCTCCTCCTCCACCTCCCGAGCCTCATCATGCTCTCATGGTGGTTTCCACAGCCAGGATGTGAATGGATGGATAGGGGGGGTGGGAAGAGGGCAGTCAGGGGAGGGGAGGAGGTGGGGGTGGGAAAGGCCATTCACCTCACTGTCTTCACAGATGCCTTCCTGCTGGACTCCTGCGTGTTCGGCACTGGCCTCAGGAAGAGAAAAGTGGCATTTGGCTGAAGTTTCATTTTATTGCTCAACCTGAGTGCCTAGTCATGGCCTCCATGAGCCACTCATGCGAGGCTTGTGGACCTTGAAGAAATCTAAGGGATGTGCAAAGAGAGACAAACTATGCAGGAATCGCACATAGGGGAGAGCTGAAAGTGGAAGGAGAGGACGCAAAGGGGCTGGGGAGGAGGAGCGAGTAGTGAGTAATGAACCGCTGGGACACTCCACAGAAGGAAGTCCTCTTTCAGCTGGCATCTGGAGAGTTGAAAGGCACCTGACAGCTTTCAAAGCCTTTCTCATATGCATTCTCAGTTGAATGTTGGAATGACTCTGGAAGGTAGATAGGGCAGATCAATTACATTTTAGAGAAAAGGAATGCGAGTCTCAATATGGTTTTGCAAGTTGCCCTATAACAGAGAAGCAGTAGATATCAGCTGTAAACTAGAACTTGGGGACATCCCTCTTTGGATCATCGCTTGCTGACAACCAGGCCGGCTCACCATGTCTACTTCTCCCTTGGAGAATCTCCTTGTGAATCAGCTGAGGCAGGTGATAGAACACGTGAACCATCATGAACATGGTGTTTGAATCTGCTGCTGTTGAGAAAACTGCTCAGCTGGTTGGAGCTGTCTTCCTGTGAGTTCAGGCTCCCTCCCTCAACCTTTTGCCTTCTTGCAGATCTCTGGGCTTTGAGATTTTAATGATGCTTTATTTCCTTCCCTTTGCCAGCCCTCCTGGGGAAGTGAGCAGAGCAAAAGAAGCTTCCTTAGAGTTGCACAGCTCCCAGCAACCTCCTTCAGTACTGTCCACTGCCATGCTCTAATCAACATGACAGATTAGAGCCTCAGGTTAAGCAGAGCAGAAGACAGGGGGGGTGGAGTGAGGACGCCAGGAGAGAAGGGAAGGGAGAGAAAACGTATAGCAAGGGGGACACTGACCTTGCAACAAAGTTGAGCTTGCAGGCTCATTTAGCTCTAAATTGGGTGTGAGACAAACCAGAAAGAAAAATGCAGTATGTTATTACAGTAGCTACTAATAAATGTTTGTCACATATACTTTGCATACTGCCTCTCACAAACTTTGCTGGAGGAATGGATGAATAAAAGAAGACACAAAGACAAAAGAGTGTAGGAGAAGGTCCAACAGGAAAAAGGCTGAAATGCTTTATGTTTCTGTACTTGGGTGCAATGGTTGGGCAGGCAGGGTGCTGCCACTCTGCACATTTTCAAGGCCAACTGAAGTCACTCTTAGCTTTGGCTGAGCTGGGGTACTGATCTAATAGCAAAGGATCAATGTTTCCTTCTAGAAGAGCATTCTCTTCCTGCCACTGCCTCACCCTGGAAGACCAAGTTCAGGAATTTCTGATCCCGTGGCACCAATGTAGAAACAGGCTCCCCCTGGAACCACGGCGGCCCAGGAATATGGGAATGGGACTCTTGGTCCCTTTAAATGCTGCAAACTTAGAGCTCAGGTGCACAGAGCCTTAGTGGTTTGTGACAGGAGGGCCACCCTGGTACCCTCCCTTGCCAAGATACTGAACACGACAGGAATTTCATGCACCAGAATTCCTCACCTTTCAATGTCTACATTATGGTGGCAAAATGACAATTTAGCTGGCTTTCATCACAAAATGTTATATTCACATGAAGCCAATGTTGCTTCCTGACATGCCCAGAAACCTTGACAGCTTTTGGAGAAAAGTGACAAGGAAACTTCCCTAATATTCATATTTATCAAAAAGCTTCACAATGGTGAGCCTCGATGGTACACCTCGATGGAGCCAGAGCAATGTCTGGACCAGTCTTGTCAGAAGTTGGTGGGCTGAACACACTCGTGTGCACTCGGGGCTTCACAAGTGCTGTGGGATGTGACATCCAGGCCTCATTTTTTGGTGGGCCCCTCAAGAGTGTGGCCTCTCTATTAAGGCTATAAAAGCTGATTTGACTTATGATTGACTAAATTCAGAAAATGCTGCAGGCTTTTTTTCCCAGTTAGAGGGTGGGCTTGTCCAGGCTCTGAGACAGCTGGTGTTAGGGAGCACCTCACATGTACCCAGCCATCCTTAGTGAGCCCAGGCGTTCCTAACTTCCTTAAATGTATGCTAGCACTTTTTAAGATGTACTGCTTAGATACCCTGGGGTTCCAGAGAGCTGATGATGTGGGAATGTTCCAAAGGAACATCCCAAAGGAGGTGCACGTTTACTGCCGACTGACCAGTGAACGGGATACTTGACTGCCACGCATGGGTCTACTGAAAAGAGCACATGCTTCACTGCTTTCCTTGTCACAAATGCCAGCTATTTCACTCTTTAAAAAAAACAAACAAACAAACAAACAAACAAACAAAAAAACCAGTTTGCTTCTTCTCCCTAGTCTTACGTTGAGATGGCCCACAGAGAGGAGGCTGGGGAATTAGACAGCCATGATGAAGCCAATAGCAAAACATTTCATGCATCTAAATCAGAGAGAGAGGAGAGAAAAGGAGGAGGAAGGCAGGTTACAAGAAAGGAGCCTGGTTTGCACAGGGTGTAGGACCGGAGAGGGGCTTATGGGAAAGTAAGGGAGAGCCTTAGGCTTGCAAGGCAAGGGAAGGAGAGGCCCCTTCCGTTCTAATCCTGGCTCCCTGTTCATGCAGACAGACACCTGCTAAAATGCCAAAAAAGCCTGACAAATGTGAAGGGGCACTTACGGCCACCCTTGTGTGGGAGATGCCAGACAGATCAATCACTCTAATCACAGCTCTGCCTATTCTGAGCTACTGGCTCTGGGATCCAGGACAGCTTTTCCCTTTCCAGACCTCTCAGCTAAAGCTGGGCTTTACTTTGTGTGGTGGTGGGAGGTGTTGAGGATGGAATTTAGAAGCAGAGGTGGCAGGACAGAGTACCATGAGCTCATGACCAGGGTGAGCTGTACGCACTGCCATGGAGGGAGTGTGCAGGCGCAGGGGTAGGGGAGGGCCCTAAGGCTGCAGGATTATCCTCCATTCTCAAGATAAAAATATATTCTTGCCAATTAACTGCCAAATTCTTTCCCTCCCCTCTCCTACCATGTCCCAGGTGCCTATAACATGGGTGACTGGGGGAGTGTTTTGAAAAACCCCAATGATGAACATGACTTACACGGTGCACATTCAGTAATAGTTACATCAGCTCTGAAAAATAATAAACTGAAATAAATAATAATTGAAAAAAAAAAGAGGGACAGCAGGTGGTGTGATGGTTGAGGTGCTGGATTCCCATATGGCTGACTGTGGTTCAAGTCCTGGACCTGGTGACTTGCTTTCCTAGTTTCCCTCTCTCTGTCTCTCTCGGGTGAATTGAAAAATAATAATAAATAAACTGAAATAAATAATTATTAAAAAAAAATAGTTACATCAGCTCTATCTTTTTTATTCTCCCAGAAGTATATATTGAGTAGTCAATGGTATTAGGCTGTTGTATTTTTCTCTGTAAAAATGCATCATGACTTTCTCAATGACCCTTTTTTATTTTAACCAATCTCACTGCACCTAGTGGAGGATGGAGTTTGCCCAAAAGGCAACCAGAAGTTAATACTGTAGCCTATAGGAAGGATTTGCACAAACTGAGGGATGAAAACCGTGGTCAGCCTGGAGACCTGCCTGATGACAGAGACAGACGCAAGTGCACTTCTGGGTCTCTGTTCTCACAGGGGGGGCCTCGGGACTGCAGGGAGGGTGCACACTGACTCTGGTGTGCAAGGAAGGTGGTCTTCACAGCCCGATGGCTGGACAAAGTTTTCCAAAGGGAAAAACTGCAATTAACCCAGGGAGCAAAGTACTGACTGAACTAGGAAGCACGCCTCCCTGGGCTCTTTGCGATTCTACCCAGTTGTTATCGCTGTAGTCAGTTTTGTAGATATCACTGAGGGGAAAACACATTAAATGTCATTTGGGCATCCCAAAGTCCTTTTCTCCTGTCTCAGGATTTTCCCAGGATAGAAGGAAACATGAACATTTTTCTTTCATTTTTTATTTTCCTACTCCCTTTACCACATTCATGCACGTACTAGTTGGTTCTCGCTCTCTCTTCCACCTCCCCCATGTCTGTCTAACTTCGGACACTCACGCTGGACCACCTCCCCCCTCTTCCCCAGAGACTCTCCTACCCACACGCCCCACTCCCACTCCCGGCTCAGGGCACAGACTCACCGAACAGCGTGATGCTGGCGTTGGTGTGGCCCAGCTTGTTGGAGGCCACACACGTGTAGTTCCCATAGTCATGTTCAGACACGTTGAAGAAGATGAGTTTGGACAGGAAAGGTCTGTTTTCCACTTTGACCCCCTTTTTCCCTTCCATCAGTCTGAGATGAGACAAAAGAGAAGAAAACAAGAGATGGTTATTATTTCTCTTCCAGAAAGAAGACGGATTCTGGAATAAAGGGCCTCTAATTGCTCTTCTTCTGATGTCACCATAACCACCAGTTGCTCCACTCAAGGACAGCACAAGGTCACATGCAGTGGCATGTGCCATTTTGTTTCTCTGTTTTTATGTGTGTGCCAAGAGACATTCCTGTCCTGACAGGAGTCTTATCTCCCCAGGCCGACATTTAAGTTCTCTGAAGGTAAGTGCTGCTTCTTATTTTTATTTATTTATTTTTTTGAGAGTTTTTTGCTACAGGGCATGTGTGCTCACCAGAAAGACAGAGAGAGAGACAGAAAGCGAGAAATCACCCCCGGGAGGATGACACGCCACAATCCGTTCTCCTCCATTTTCCCCTTGGGATCTTGGGCATGCATGCACATGCGCCCGGCGTGAGTTTAAGCCACTGGGTCTGGGACTTGAACTGCGGTAGACTACATGGGAGTCCAGCAACATAGCCATTACTCCAACTGCTGATTCCCTGCTTCTTATCCTTGCTTTGCAGACCCATCTCTCATTTAACCACAGATATACCATGGCAGCTGTGTGACATTCAGAACAATATTATTCACTCAGCAGGTGCTCGAAAGTGTGGACTTCGATGTTGATGGTGGCGAGAATGAAGATGGTGATGGCAGTGGTGATGACAACCACACACATGAAAAACTCAAGCTTCTAATAGAAGAGTAGCCCAAAGCATTTGGAATAATACTGTTCAAACATCTGAGTAACAAAATGTCTCTTTAAACACACAAGGCATTCTACAGGTGATATTTAATTTTTGACTATGAAGAGGAGAAAATACTTGGGGATCATTTTCACCTCAGGGGGCTCTGAAGGGCTTAGGAGAAGCGATCTGCTCAGAGCAGCACGGGGGTCAGTATGGAAGGGGTTAGTGAGTCCTGGGATTGTGACCCTATGGAGCCAGGATGGTCTCCCCAAGGAATCCATTATGGCAGCCCCACAGGCCTCCAGGGCTCCTGCTGGTTGCAAAGTCCACTAAGGAAATGCCACAGCTAGTGGAGAGAAGTAAGATATATTTATCGGAATCACGATCCCAGCCCTGGGCAGACAGCAGGAGGTAAGGGGAAGGCTGTTAAGGTCTCGGCTGTTCCTGTTATGAGGTCGTTGGCGAAAGTCGTGACGTGTTTTTCTATGGTTTTCTACACAATAATGCGTCATGACTTTCCCAAAGACCCAACACCATCACGAGTCTACACAGAAATTCTAGACCAGCTCTCTTCCTTTAGAAAACTCTGAAATTGCTACTTAAGAGAACAGGTATTAAGCCAACCTTTTACTTTCCCCAAAGCAGTTTGTCTTCCTTGCCCAGAAGCTGATTCTGCGCTCTAGAAAAGATGAGTAGTTGGGGGGGAGGATTCTTAATAAAGGACCTAGGGAGCATGGACACAAACCTGCGCGGCCTGTTTGGTCGGCCTGGAGCAGGACTTGCCACACGGGGACAATGTCAAGGTGGCCATCAATGGGGAGGGGTCAGGGGACCTGCACTGGGGTAACGGCTGGCACTTAAGTCATTAAATTGGAAAGGCAATATTCAGGCAGAGAGACACAGTGGAGCCCAGCAAGACAATGATGAGAAACAGCTTTGTAGATTGTGCCGTGTGATCCAGTACAGTGTATTTCTATGGAGGTGGACATAGAGGACTCCCGCCTGGCCCTGGGTCACAGGATGCTTTGGGCAGAGAGGGCAGTGGCTTTGTTATTATCTGAAATTTCCTCTCTGCAGGATTGCAGAGCGAGTCTCTCCAGTCCCCAAACTTATGGTGACCTTGATCAAAAGAGAGAGGCAGGTTCTGGTTTGAGTTCTTGCCCAACATCTGTCTCTAGGGAAGTCAGAAGGTGGGTCAGCGACACTGGCCTTGCTTTTCATTATGTAGATTTTCCTCTGGGAGCCTTCCTCTCTCAAAAGCTGGGGGCAGTGAACTGGCCTCAGTCCATGGGCTTCGTTAAAATGCTCGCACTGTCAGTGGAATGAAGCATCCCGCTGTGCTGATGCCTGGCTTCCCTATTTCCACCTTGTTACGCACAGACGATATTGGTCCTCTAGGGGGTGCTGTCTAAGGAGGCTCTACCTGTCACCTGCAAGGTTTCTGTGGTAGTCAAGCTATTGATCCTATTTGCGATTTTGATGCCATGTTGGGGTGGGGAGGAAGCCTTCACACAAGAACCAAGCTGTGAATTAGATTTTGCCTCTGGGAGGACATACCAAAGCAGGATTTGCTGGACAGTTTTGAGCTATGTTTAGCTAAAAACAGTGTCGAGTGGCCAGCAGTCCTCTGCAGGCCTGGCAGCTCCTGGGATGAGCACTCCCTGCTTCTCCACGTGGTCTCACATTCCTGTGTCCAGGTTGCTACCACACTTCAGTATTGTCTGTTTGTTTATTTATTTTACCACAGAGTGTGTTCACCAGAGACCGAGACAGACGGGAGGAAAGTGAGAAGTCATCCCCCAGGGAGATTGGCCCCACGGCATTCTCTTCTCCTAAATGCTCCTCTTGGGATTTTAGACACACACACACACACACGGTGTAATTTTTAAGCCACCAGGCCCACGACTCGAACATTTCTCAGCCATGTGGGATCCAGTGCCTAAACCACCACACCACCTGCTGGCTCCCAAGCTTCAGTTTTCTCAGGAAGCCACAGGCTTTCCCTGGCTAATGTCCCTGCTGGGTGGCCTTGATGAGATACAACATTTCCTTTCCTCTCCCTTTGGTGGGTAACACACACACGGCGTGCGGCTGAGTGGCACTAGCATGCAGCCGAAAGTCTTCTACCCTAAATCTGGAGAAAATGCCAGCCCCGTCACATCCCTTCCTGGACTCTGCCTGGGAAGGCTGTGCACGCACTGCAGAGGCGGGATGGGCTGGGGCCGGCCTTGCCCCAGGGCAGATGCAGTATGCCCTCCAAGACCTGCCTGGCAGAGGCCGTCTGGCAGTCTCAGTGGCTCAGACACAACTGGCTGTGACAGGGACCTCAGAGGCAGAGATGTTCTTGTCAAACTGCATGCCAGGAGGAAAGACAACTCCATTCCACGGGGGAACACCAGAAAGAAATAAATGAGCAGCACGTGGAATACCGATGGAACTCGGATGAAAGGGCAGAAAAGGAGCTGCCCTTAGTTCTCAGACAGAGGAGGAGGCAAAGCTGCTGGAGCCAAGGGCCCCTGCACACCAGGAGTGGCCACACCACCTCATCCTCTTCCCCTGAGTAAATGATGCCGTGGACGGTGCTGCTCTGACCCCACAGTCACTAGGCAAGGGGAGAGTCCTCAGCCTCTTTTCCCACTGGTCATTTTCCCTTCCTTTCCTAGAGGGCATGTGCACTCACTGGAGAGACAAAGAGAGAGACAGACAGAAAGTGAGAGATCACCCCTTGTCGAGGATGGCCACACCACAACCCCTTCTCCATTCTCCTCTCAGGATTTTGGACGCACACACGCACACACACACACACACACACACACACACATAACCCTGCATGAGTTTTAAGCCTCTGGGTCCCGAACTCGAACCCCTGCTGACCTTGTGGGAGTCTAGCGCTTTAACCACTATACCACCTGCCGGCCCTGCCTCAAAATCTCTTAAGAGCTGGTTTTCCCCTAAGTTTTTTTTTTTTTTTCCAATTTGTCTCCCCAAAAGGAGCAGAATAATAGGCTGCAGCCGATTAATTTCACGGTGACCTAGGCCACTGAAGGCTCCGCTGCAGCTCATGACTTCCCTTGTCTGGTTCTGTTTTGAAACCTGACCTTGATGCCTCAAGCATTTCTCTCAGCACAGTAAGAAGCTGGGGGTAGGGAGTGCCCCAACTGGTTTCTGCATGATGCTGAATTCTCAACAGAAGAAGGAAGGCTAGCTCTGCTTATTACTTTGTTTCTCCCTTTTCGGCCTCAGTTCTTTCATCTGTAAAAGGGACTGGCGGGGGCGCAGCAGATAGTGTGGTGGCTACACCCCTGGACTCCCACACGGCCAACTGAGGCTCGGCTCGGACCTGGTGGCTTGAAAATCACGCCTGGCGCGTGCACGTGCATGCCCAAGATCCTGGGAGGAGAATGAAGGGATTGTGGTGTGGCCATCCTCCCCAGGGGGTGATTTTTCACTTTCCCTCTCACCATCTCTGTCTCTCTCTGGCAAATGCACATGCCCTGTGGCAAAAACCTCTTACAAAGAAAAGAAAAAAATAAGGGGGGCCAGAGGAATACAATACGACCTGCCAAAATGAATCCTGAAAAATTAAGCAGCATGGTTCTTTTAGAAGAATTTGCATGAGACACAATAATTCTTCCCTTTTTTAGAGAGTTTTTTTGCTATAGGTTATGTACGCTCGCCAGAAAGACAGGCAGAGAGACAGAAAGTGAAAATCACCCCCTGGGGGGATGGCCACGCCGCACTCCCTTATTCTCCATTCTCCTTTCAGGATCTCAAGCACACATGCACACGCACCCTGTGTGAGTTTACACAGCCAGGTCCGGGATTAGAACTGTGACCGACTACATAGGAGTCCAGCGACATAGCCATTACGCCAATAGCTGGTCCCAACACAATGATTCTTGCAGCGACTTGTAACTGCAATTCCATTACTGATTCAGAGACTCGGAGAGCTGCTGGGTATGACTGACTACAGAAGGAAGAGAAGCCAGGACATGGTGGAACCTTCTGTGCGTGTGGGCAGCAGCGTGCTCTCTCCACGCCTGGGATTCTCCTGCTGCTCCCTCCTCGGAATTGCTCTCTTGGTAGTTTTTCTTCCTCAGCTTCTCAGCCTCCATCACTCTCTCCTCTACCCCACTCCACTCCCCATACACCTCAGGACTCTTTTGTACCCCCTATATCACCACCATCCCCTCCCCATCCCTGTGATCATGTTTCTTTTTTTTTTGAGATAGTTTTCTTTTTTGCTTGCTGGAGAGACAGAGCAAGACAGAGATACAGAAAGAGAGAAATCACCCTCCAGGGGATGGCCATGCCTTAATCCCTTCTTGGGATTTTGGGCACACACGCACATGTGCCCAGCGTGAGTTTTAAGCCACTGGGTCTGTTGAACTGTAGCCAACTATGTGGGAGTCCAGTAATGTAACCATTCCGCCATCTGCTGGTCCCCTCTTGTGACAATGTTTAGAACACAGACATTTATTTGCTGTTCATGAACCTCGGGACAGTCTTCGACAACAGTAACAGCCATATTGCCAGGCTGTCCCGAGCTACGGTTCCCTGTCCTGCCATTTGGCAACTCCCCGAAGTGATCATCTTCAGTGACTCACAGCAAATATCCGGATGACGGCTGTAACAATGGTAAGCCAGGGAACAGTTCTGTCTCTTCTCCTACAGAGAAAACAACTCAGCACAAAAGGAGGGCTGAACTGGGTCATGGCCTCTTACACACCACTGCCGCTGTGTCTGGGACAGGAGTGGGACTGCTGGCTACAGCTTGCTAGCCACTCCCGGTGCCCTGTGCCTTCCCACGCCTAAATATGAGCCATAGAATATGTTAAAGATAGCTTCGGCCAGAACACATTACCTTCTGGGCCTATAAAAATTCAATCTTGCACTGCTCCTAGTGGCCTTTGTTTGGTGATTTTGCTTTACAAAAACAACATTATCTTTGAGGCCTTTTGGTAGGCTAGTGCTAATTCTGCCTGGCGACTTTCAACACCTAGCTGAAATCCACGAGATTTGTTGGCATACTATTTCTCCCCACAGGTAGGGGGAATTCCAAAGAGGGCTTTGCAGGAATTCATCTGCTGCCACCTGGAGTCAGGATCCAGAGAAATTTTCTTTTTCTGAGGGGTTGGGGTGGGAGAGGAAGGCAGGGGAACTTTACCTTTTTTTAAAATTATTTATTTTATTTTTTATTATCGTTATTCTTTAATTTGACCAGACACACACACACATACACACACACACACACACACACACACACACACACACACACAGAGGGAGAGAGAGAGAGAGAGCACACACACACACACACACACAGAGAGAGAGAGAGGGAGAGAGAGAGAGAGAGAGAGAGAGAGAGAGAGAGAAAGCAAGCCACTGAGTCCGGGACTTGAACTGTGGTTGCCATGTGGGAGTCCAACACCTTAAAAACCATGCCACCTGCAGGTCCCAGGGGGACTTTACCTTTTGTCATCCTTGTACCACTGGAATTCTGCTGAGGGAACCGCTGAGGCTTCGCACTGCAGTGTCCCTTTTTGTCCCACGGGGACACCTGTACCCTTTGCTTCTGAAATGTATGGTGGATCTGCAGAGAGAAGAGAGCCCACAGCATTTTAAAAAGAGGAAGGTGTCCTCATTCCTGCCCTATGTCTGCTTACTCACACTATCAAGTTGCTATGCAAATTGTGTAAGAGAATGACATCCTAAAGCCCTTCTACACAGCAGCTTGGTCTTCCTTGTATGTGTCGTTTCTGTTCTCCTTCATACAGAGGTGGAATGACCGTGTTCAGGTGCATTTCTTGTCTAAACTTTTTAACTTTCATGGGATGATGCCAACCTATCAACTCTACACTCCATGGGTTGACAGCACCTTTAATCAGCCTTACAGAATTTCTGCACACCAGGCTCTTACCAAAGTATGTAACCTCGAACTATTCAATTCCCATCAAAAGCTCAGTTATGAGAAATAATATTCATGGAGAATTGCCTGAAGGATATACAGATCAGACATTCTTCTGGGTATTCTAAAATGAATCCCCGAATCAAGGCAGACCAAACTAGACCTACATACTTGGTCTGCATTCATTTGAAGTCTTTACCAACTACCTTTGACATTCCGACAGTGCATCGAGGGGCATTATGAAAAACAGCCACAGTAACCTTGCTGGGAATTTACTGAAGAAATACTGTACCTGATCCCATTGACTATATTGCAAAGGGCTCTATTTGTGGAGACCCTAAAGAGAATTTTCTCTCGGGTCTCAGTACCAGGAGAAGCAGTGTTTCTCCCAAGTGCCTCATTTGCTTTTATCTCATGGACAACATCAATCTTAAAGCAGATGATATTCCCCCACCTTGCCTTAGAAATGCAAAGACAAATTCTGGATCTGCACCTAGCAACCTCGTGGTATGTACTTCATGTGGTGATTTTTCTCTGGCTTTTGGCATGTTCTAAATACATATTTCTTTACTCTTTAGGCTCACCTTTATAAACTGTATATTATCTTAACCCCTCCCCCCCTTTTTGGAGAGGTTTTTGCTATAGGGTGTATGTGCTTGCCAGAAAGACAGAGAGAGACAGAAAGACAGAAAATGAGAAAACACCCCGCCACACACCATCCCCTGGAAGATGGCCACTCCACCATCCCTTCTCCTGCATTCTCCTCTCATCATCTTGGGCATGCACGCCCACGTGCCCGGCATGAGATTAAGCCACCGAGTCCAGGACTTGAACTGTGGTCGACTACATGGGAGTCCAGTGATGTAGTCATTACGCCATCTGTTGGTCCCTTTAATCTCTTTTTAAAAAAGCGTGATAAGGTTAAAAAAAAAAAAAGTGGCATTATTATACCTAGCCCGTGCTTCTTAAAGTGCTTCCAATGAACTAGGTTCAAATTGTAACAGGCACTAAAATATGAAAGAAAGGTATAACCTATTGGCAATATCTTTCTCCTAACTCCACTCCACTCAAGTAGTGAAGAAAGGGGAAAGGTTTGTTGTTTGCTGGTTTCGTTTTGGGGTTCTAGTCTGTCAAAAGACTTTCTGGAATATGCCTGGCAGAGAAAGTTTTCAGAATGTCATCAAGAATAGAGCCAATATACACACTGAGGAGCTGAGAAAAGAAAAGGTGAAAGAGAGGTAGGAGACTGGACTCAGACCCATGTCCAGGAGAAGTTGGATGGCTGATAAGGAAGAATGCGGAGTCCACCACAGTGGCCTCTAAACATTTCAAATTCTGTACCATTAGTAAAAGTTCCATTTTTATGTATACTCTCTAATATCTGTGCTTATTTGTTTGTAAATGGTATATAACCGAACTCCAAAAAGTGTGTGGAAAATGGAATTAAAGTACAAGTTTATTTTTGGTACAAAAATGTTTGAAATTCATGCATAGTTTCTTCATAAGATGTATTTGTTATGGATTTCTTAAAGATCCCTCTTGCATATGCCATATATATCAACATCTGTAATCATAGAAAGATGAGATACAATAGGATATAAGTGGAAGTGCTAGTATTTCTTTTATACACTCTGGTACATGTTTTTTGGCTGTTATGGAGAGGCCTGGGCCAGTGAGTGAGAGGCTCCAGAACTGCTGCATTGTATGTGTCAACTATGGGAAAACCGGGGTTTTGAAGACATGTTTGTATAAATTATGCATTGAATGTTAGTTAAAGATCTCCCAGCCATCTAACTGAAATGCAGATTATATTAAGTTACTTTTGGCTATGTTTTTTAAAGTGACACTATGAAACCTTGAGGTGTCAAAATCTAGAGTTTGGAATTGTTGCTACTGAAAGCAGAGCCTGGAAAATGGTGCTGAGTTATTTCCCATCCGGAGTCAGCACTCGCCTCTGCTGACTGGCACTCTGTTGTGCCAATGGCAACAGGCTGGCCTCGTGCACGTGCAGGTAGAGGGTGCAGGTGAGCCCACTTACAGTTCACGGTGACCTTTACTCTCCGTACCACCGGTGCGGCCACGTCGTTGGAGGCACTGCACTCGTAGTCTCCTGACTGCTCCCGGGTGATGCCCTGAATTTCCAAGTATTCATCTTCACTCACAAAGCCAACAGCTGCAGGAGAAGCAGGAAGGTGTGGTGAAGTAGGAGAAAAAAATGACCAGAGGTATAACTTAGAAAGCAAAGTATCAAATGGTTACATCTGCAGAGAATCAGGCCAGTTCTAAGCTCAGATTTTTAGGAATCATGCCAATCCCCCCTCTCCCACTTCCTTTGTCCCTTCCACCACCAACATTTTCTTGGCTCCCCAATGGACCAGCTGAAATATTTGTGTTCCTAGCTGAACTAAGCACAGTGCCTTGAGAATTGCTGTTCCTCAATAAGTGATTAATAATTTTGACACTTACACTGCCTGAATCGTATCAAGCAGTTTAGCTTGGGATCTGAACTCTTTCTGATCTCACGGTGTCATTTAGACTAAGCTTTAAATTGTGGAGTTAATGATTGCATACCTGAATATGAACCAGTTAAAAATGCCACCCTATCCTTCACACGCGCATACATGCACATATACACACTGGAGCCACAAAGGCAGTAGAAACGCAGATACAGTAAATTTAACCTTTAGATTTTAGATTTAGACAATAAATTGGATATGCAGAAGTCAATTTTCTAAATTTTGATCTGCTAGAAATTTCTTTTTCTTTCTTTCTTTCTTTTGGGTCTCTTGTCATAGGGTACAACTAGCTGCCAGAGAAAGACAGAGAAAGAAAAAGAGAGAGAGATCATCCCCTTCCCAGAGAGGATGACCATGCTGTAATCCCTTCTCTTCCATTCTCCTCTCAGAATTTTTGGGTTGCAAATACTCTTGCCCAGCATGATTATTATTTTTTTTTCCAATAAAGTCCTGCAAATGTTTATTGTTAAAGCTATACCACAGTTTTGTTTATAGTGCTGTAATCAAACTGCAACTATATTCAAGTTTCATGCATGAAGAGTTAGGTCAATACTATGTTCCCTCAACTACACTCAACCATGTATTACCAAGGAGCTGTAAGAAACTTTTTCCTCTGGATCTCAAATCACAAGGGACAGTACTGGGAAATTTTTTGACTTAGGCTAAAGGCCATTGTAACTCGATAAATGAAGACAATCAAGATTAGATTAGGCCCAACCTGGTGATATGGTGTAGTTGGTGGCAAACTAACTGCAGTGCTGGAAGCCACATGGCCAATCCTGGGTTCAGATTCCCCAGTCAGTCCGAATATATGCCAGGTGTGTGCATATTCATGAAAGTACATGCAAGTGCATTAGAGAGTAGGATTGTACTTCCCTCTCTCTAGCTTATCAGACATGAATGCGCACACCCAGCATGATTTTCAAGTCACTGGGTCTGGAGCTTGAACCATGGCCAGTCATGCACGAGCCCAGCCCCTTAGCCACTATGCCACCTATTGGCCCCAATCTGTCAGAACTTTTAAGTACACAATCCTAAAGACAAACCAACAACAGGACTCCCCTCTTGATGCCAAGCAAAATGTCTGACACAAGTAAAGTTAGAAGACATGGCTGCAATTCTCCTCTGCCAGTTAATCATCCTGAGACTCGATTTCTCTAATAAAATCCAGAAATAATAAGAACCCTCTACCTCCCAGACTCCATATCTGATGTCTGGTCTCGAACATTCAGTAATACAAAGACCAAGACATCGAAGCCTAGAAGACAGAATTCAAAGTTCTCTCCCAGAACCACCACCTTGAAGCTTAGCTTCCTTGGCAAAAGACAGTGAAGAACAGCATAACTGCTCACACCTGGGGTTACCTGCCCTAGTCTGTTAAATGCAGACTATTAGAACACTCTCTTCATGATTATAGGAAGCCATATAGAATCAGCTAGTATAGAAGCCATATAGAAAAAAGGACCTTTAAGAGTAAAAGGGGTCAGGACTAGCAGTTAGCGTAATGGACATGTCACTGAACTCCCATGTAGTCGACAACAGTTCGAGTCCCGGACCTGGTGGCTTAAACTCATGCCGGGTGCATGTGCGTGTGTGTCTGAGATCCCGAGAAGAGAATGGAGGAGAAGGGATTGCGGCGTGGCCATTCCCCTTGGGGGGTGATTTCTTGTTTTCTATTTCTCTCTGTCTTTCTGGAGAGCGCACGTGCCCTATAGTAAAAACCTGTCAAAAAAAAAAAAAGAGTAAAAGGGACAATGTTAGTAATTATTATAGGACAAGAATCAGTTGAGACTATTTCTAGCAACTGAGTAATGGCTGTTTCTAGCCTTTCTCCAACAAAATATGTATATATAGTCCTAATACCTAACAGGGTTACTTAGACTGACAAGTGAAAGAAATATAAATATGGAATCTTCAAAAAGTTCATGAAAAATGCATATTATGAAAAAAACATAGATTCCAAATTATTTTTGCACCACAATAAACTCATTTTACTTCTGCTTTTCCACAGACTTTTTGAAGTCCCTCGTATATACATAAAACACCTTGAAAACCCTCACGTGGCACTCACTAGAGAGACAGAAAGTGAGAAATCAGCCCCCAGCGGGATGACCACGCCGCAATCCCTTCTCCATTTTTTTCTCAGGATCTTGGGCACACATGCACATGTGCCCAGCATGAAATTTAAGTCACCAGGTCCGATACTCAAACCACAGTCAACTGTGTAGGAGTCCAATGATGTAACCATTATGCCATCTGCTGGTTCCAGGTTGTGACAAATCCTTGACATCATCCAGGGTTCTTTAGATATGGTGGGTCCTCAAAATATTCAAGGAAGATGCATATTATTAAAACAATGCATACATTTCAAACATGTTTGCATCAAAATCACCTTTAACTCTATTTTCCATGAACTCTTTTTTTTTTTTTTTTGAGAGATTTTCACTGTAGGGCGCGTGCGCTCGCCAGACAGACAGCGAGAGACATAGAGACAGAAAGCGAGAAATCACCCCCCAGGGGGGATGGTCACGTCGCAATCCCTTCTCCTCCATTCTCCTCCATTCTCCTCTCGGGATCTTGGGCATGCACGCACACGCGCCCGGCGTGAGTTTTAAGCCACCGGGTCCGGGACATGAACCGCAGTCGACTACGTGGGAGTCCAGCGACATAGCCATTACGCTAACTGCTGGTTCCCTATACTAATCGAACTCTTGAAGCTCCCTTGCAACCTCATGCCCTGTGGAACCTACACTAGCTATGTACAGAAACTCTCGTGCCTCTGTGACCTATGGAAGAGAAAGAGAACTGACATACCTATTACTACAAGCAGCAAAGAGATCCTAAACTCACAACAAGAAGAAACATGTTAATAAGTAGAAAATGGGGCCAAAAAGTCCAGGATCTAGAGAACCATCTGTATTAACCCTCATGGACCAATAGTTCTTCCAAAACTTCTAATTATCTCAGTAGCCTTTATTATTAGTTTCATAAGTGTCATTAGGGGAAAAAAATACTAATCTTGATTTGAGAAATGGTGGCAGGAAATAGAAGTGGTTTAAATAAAGAATTTGTGATTCCTCTTATGTTGTCATTGTTTATTTGCTACGAACCATAGGCCTACATTTTGTCAGATCTTTCTCTGCTAGAATGCTATAATTACTGTGCAAAGCATCTCAGAGACCAGTGTCACACTTAATATTCCCATTAATTTTAAATGGTAGTCCTTGGTACATATGTGTGGCAATTGGTGTCATATTTTAATTAGGCTTGCCCTACACCATCTGAAATTAATAATAGCTCGAATTACCAGTGTAATTTATAAATTAACAGTGCCGCAGCATTAGGAAATAAATTAGCTCTGGACAGCTGTTTCTGGATTGAGTCCCAGTGTCAGAGCAGTGACTGGTAGGACCTTGGGTCCCCTGGGAGGCTCTGTAGTACACGACCAAAGCAAAAAGACACGGGTGATGGGGTCTCTTGTTCTTATCTCCAACTCAAGCCCACCATCTGTTGTAATTCTCTCATCCAAATATGCTCTCATGTGACCACAGTGAGGTCTGCTGGGAACATCCTTTGAGGAGCTCGTTGCATGTAAATCCAAATGCAGAAGCATGTGGGAGGGTAGCAGTCTACACTGAACTGCAGGTCTACAAACATTAGGGTAACAGCATCAAGAACTCATCAAGTGTTATGTGAGAATGCAGATATAGAGACGTAGGTGTCATGTTGTACAGTCATGGCAGGGATCTATAGGGAAGGGAGTTGGCTGGTTTGGGGAAGGTATATGGTCTCCCTGATCCACACTACTCTTACTAGAGGGAAGGGATTTATACTCAAGTCATCCTGCAAAAGCCTGGGAGGCTTAGTCTTCCTACCACATGTCCCCTAGACCAAACATAGAATTGCAGAGAAACCATTATGACATTCGCCAGTTATTATATGTGCTCTTTGGATTAAATTGGTCAAAGCATGTAAAATGTAATCTGTATATAGGAAAATGCCTTATACACTTTAGCTTCTATTGTCAGTATTTTCACCTTTCTCATACACTTTTTTTTGCTACTACAGGCACACGTGACCAACTATAGTGAAAGATCATCGTTTTATATATATGTATATATATTATAGATATAGTATATATACATATATATAAAATATATACTATATATACATATACTATATATACATAATATATACTACATATACATATATATTAAGCGAACTAACTTTGAATGAGCAGAACTGTGGGTCCTACATGGACTGCTCAAAATAAACAGATGAGAAAAAAAACAACACCCCACAAAACGAAATCTGAATTTCTGGAAATAACCAAGGACATATTTCATTGAATAACATTTCTGTTGTGGCTGGGGAGG